TAGTCTGTGATTTTTTTTTTTTTTTTTTACAGTTTTGACCAAAACCTTTTCCATTTCTTTCCATTAACATTCCTTAAATTAAACTTCTTCTCCTTGTTCTCATCATCATTTGTGTTGATCTGCATTCATTCATCTTCTCTCCCGTCTTTTCAGGTTCTTCCTGATGTACCTCATTAACAAGGATGAAACTGAACACACGGGGCAGGTATAATAGTTCTCCTTTCTATTCAAATTGCACCATCCAATCAAAGTGGGAACAAAGTGTACGACAATTTTGCCGTAATTGCCCAAATCCCACGTTCCCTAACATATCCTTCCCTGACGGTTCCCTCAGTCACGGTGACCTGTTTGTCCTGAGCGTTCGCTGTCGGATTGACAAACCTCTGACGTAACCTTTTCAGAGGAAACACAGTTATTTTTTTTCAGATACACAGATACTTTATGTTAATGAACTTTCAACATCTGGTCTGCACAAAATACAGAGCTGAGGGGAGTGAGGAAAATGAAGAACAAAATGGAGGATGAAGGAGAGATCTGGGTTGAAACTATGATGGTATTGATTATGTATATGAAGGCTAAGGTGGTGCAGTGGCATGCCCCCCTGCCTGCCATCGGATAGTTCCGGGTCAGTGTCGCGGGATGTCGTAGAATTTGTAAAAACAAGTATAAAAAAAACCCTGGGAATTCCCCCTGTGGTCTAGGCCTCTATCATCTTAACAAAGAGTTAGTTGGGGTTTAAATCAGTTACTAAGTGATTGATATAAGGTTTAGGGTTCTGAAGTTAAATATAAGGGGCGTGTCCAGTAATATGTGAACCCACAGTTCTTCTTCTACTGCTGTGATTATATCATTCCTTTCATAAAATCTCTTCTTCTTCTCCATACTTTTATTGTTATACGAGTTGTTAAGTTAAAACAAACGTTTCCTTTCCATGGTTCTGAACCCTGCTGCTCCTCCTCCTCCTCCTCCTCCTGCTCCTCCTGCTCCTCCTCCACTTTTGACATTATTACCCACATTATTACCCACAGAGCTGCAACACGTTGGATATTTATTTTCTCTGTAGACAGTTTTTTTCCTGTGTGAAATCCCAGTGGAGCAGTTGTTTTTGTTACACACAGATCAGCCTGTCTGGCACCAACAACGGCGCTACGCTAACTGTCACTTGAACGCACCTTTCTGACTCATTGTGAGGCCCAGTTTCAAACACTTTTTGGACCAGGTTTATTTCTACTGTGTCGATCGAATTTGTGTCAACAGAACAACGTTGTTCAAACTCAGGAAATAGTAAAATATTAGCTCCACTCTGGCAGTGGTGCCTTTGTGGCTGCATCTTATTTAATGTATCATTATTTTGTCTTTATGTTATTTAATTATTTAATTATCCATTACCGCTAAGATCTAACATCCAACCAGCTCACAGTAGTTTGGTTATTTGGTGCTTTTGTTCCTAGGAACCGTGGACAGATGTGCTGTGTTTAATCTGTCACTACTACTACTTAGATTAATGAAGGAACTGTTGTTGAAATATCTGGAAAATGTTCCTTTAACAGATCACACACAGCCTGAGACTGAGCCAGAAAAAAAAAAAAATCCATGGACGCTGGTTACTTTGTTATTGTCTGAAAATTGACCATATATTGCGACTCTCTCCACTTTGTCAGTGATCCTATGTGTGGAAGATGTACCAGGAGCGCTGCTGGGAATTCTTTCCTGTGGGGGATTGTTTCCGTAAACAATACGAGGATCAACTGGGATGNGACTGAACATCACGACGTGTGTCTAACGTATAATATCTGTGATCTTTGGAGGAAGTTGACGCTGGATTGTGGGAAATCTTTGGAAATGTTCTGGAATGTGCAGAGAGCGAGGAATAAATGTCACTCATTTGTGTTTCACTGTGAGATTATCATGCAGCGCGGCCTCTCTGTCAATTACCCGGCTAATTCTTCCGATTCAGAGACAAAACTATTCGGAGCGGTGTGACTGTTACACACACACACACACACATGCAGCTTTATTTGACGCAGCGGAGCGGCTGAATCCAAATTCAGATCAGCAGCACCGTGTTGATCTGAATCCGTCTGTGAGAAGCTGGTGTTTTGTGAATTAGATGATTAGTCTCTCTAAACACAGCCTCCCATCCTTCTTCCCCGTGTGACGCACAGATAAACGCTCTCCCTCTGATGTGTGTTCCTCCTTCCTTCCTCCTCTGTTCTGTCTCTCCACTCTCTGCCTTCGTGTTGTTCATGTTCACACTCATCTCTCCACGACACTTCTCCTCTTCCTCCTCCTCCTCCTCCTCCTCCTCCTCTTCGTTGTTGCTTCTTGTCCTCGCCTGCTCCTCTCCATTCCTCGTCTCTTTTTTTCGCGGCGTCACCAAACACCAATGTCGATCATGCTAGCAGTCCTCCGCTGCTAGCATGAATGCTGTCATGGACGTGGATCAGTGAGCTCAGTGACACCACAGGCTGCTGATCAGATGGCCGACAAAGTCTTTGGGGAATCTCCCACTTGTTGACTCAAGGAGTGTGTCACTTCTATTTAAACGGTTTCAAACTTGAGTGTTCACAGAGCTTAGGAGCCGGATGGCGAGCGTGGGCGTGCCACCAGTGGACACTGTGCTCATTATGAGAGGGTCCAACAGAAACTTGTTACCGGGAAATATTAATGGCTCCTGTCAGCTGTCATCGGCTTACGTTGGAGATCGATCCTGCTGGGAGAGGAAAGGCGTTCCTGTGAGTGTGAGAGAGTAAAAATATTAGCGTGTATTGTATTACACAGCGGGATACCGTGGGTGTCTAATTACTGTGTTGGCCCCAAAGGTGAACGAACCAGAAGAAACCTCTCATCAAAAGCTCATTCCGTCTGGAAACCTCTCGCCTTCCAGTGCGTATAAAAATCAATCAGACTCTCGTAACGTCCAACGCTTCGACATCTAAAACCTTGGCCACGGTTTCCTCACATCACACAGAGACAGGCTGGAGTTTCAGGAGCTCCTATTTTCCACCAGGTGATTAACTGGAGCAGCGAGTGACGAAGCCGGTCAAACCTAAACACAAACAGCCAAATGAAACGGACCCAGTGTGCAGTGGATGATGTTGTCACAACCCGGAGATCAGAGGAAAAGTTGTGGCTAAGATGGATGTTGGTGTGAACGTGGCCAAGTCCAGACCCGGAGTTCTCAGGATCTTTCCATGCCCTGGCTGAGTGATGCCGAGGATCTGGACTTGGTCTTGGCCTTGGAGCCAATCTAGGTGACGGGCTTCACACGTGTTACCGTAAATGAGAGCAAAGTAACACAATAACAACCGTGGATGACGGCTGAGAGGTTTTAAAGGAGGGTTACACTTTTTTATGGAGATCCATTGAAAGAATTCTGTTAACATGTCGATGTAAACAGAAACTGGTAACGTAAAGTACAGATGGAACAAGAAACTGGTAATGTAAAGTACAGATGGTCCTCCACTTACATCGGAGTTCTGGTCCTACGGTCCGGCGTAAGTCGGAATGCCATACTGAACATAAGTACCTACTATATGTCATCACTTACGCTTTTCACTTACACTGACACAGTGGTAACATCATGGACAGACACGAACGCTCCTGACCCCCCGGATCCAGGACATAATCTAGACTTCAAAATTGCTTCTTGGCTAATTTCTAACATGTGAAGTGTAAAAAAAAAAAGAATAATTTTTCAAATTAATTTCAACATTCTGTGACCCAAATCTATTTTTTATCAAAGTGACGTACAGCAGCAGCAACCGCTTCTCTGAGCAGAGTTTTTTTTGTTGGATTCTTTTTTTTTTTTTTCGGCATCACAAAAACAGTTGTCACTACAGAAGAATCACATGCCTGTCTACGACTGATGTGAGCTTTTGATTCCGTCTGCATGGGAACTTAAAAGAGAACTATTTTTGATGGAACCATACAAGAACCCTTTTGTCTTTTTTTTTTTTTACCACAGCAGGTTCTTGTGTGGTTCATGTGCATCACACGCCTCACGATGAAGCCCCGGAGCCTGTCGGTGTGAACTCATCTGACCTGGCATCGTGTACCACATCCAGCCACGGTTTTTTAGTTTTGATGAAAAGTCATGTCAGGAACTAAAGCTCTTTATTTGACTGTATGTTTAAGGAGTGATGGGTGGTGACGATGTCTTCAGGCTGGCACACAACAGCTGGGCGTGAACGCAGGAGTCGGCTGTAAATGATTCTGAGTGTGAAGACATGTAGACGCACCATTCAGACGATTGCCTCATGCACGGCAGCTGCTGGCGAAACCATGCCCCTGTACCCAGACATATCATGGGAATGTAATCTGAATAGTAAATCAATGAATGATGTCAACAGAAGAAAAGGGGAGAGAAGGGAGGGAGGGGGAGAAGAAGAGAGGAATCAGGAAGACGGAGAGAGAACTGAGCCGCGAATTTACTTTCACTTTAGGCCAAGTATGAACTGAATTAAATATGAGCAGCGACTTCTTCAGATTCACTTTGAAAGGTCACATCTTTAAATATCAGTACGACTTTTTAAAAAATATTTTTCAGATGGCATTTCTCTGTCTTCCCCGAGCTTTAAATATCAGTACGACTTTTTTAAAAATATTTTTCAGATGGCATTTCTCTAGTAATCCGTGGTGTCGATTAATCATGGAAATTCATAAGTTGACCGTGGAAAGATGAAATATTTAATTTCGTTTTGCCATCGAGACGTATTTGCCAAATCTGTGTAAACACAGAGTGCGTTAACGTGTGTGCGTCGTTTTGAGATTGAACCTCAGCAGAGGTTTATTTTTCACACGCGCCGTCGTCTCCTCTGACACATCAGAGTCATTTCCACTGCCGTCGTTCTGTCTCTGTTTCACTGACCTGTCAGAAAATCTCTCACCGCCGCGTGGTGAACGACGGCTTCTTGGGGTGTGACACAGGTTCAGTCCTGGTCGTGCATTTACGATGAGGTCATGAGAGTGATCGTGAAAAAAAAATGGAAGTCTTGGTTAGTGATAGAAAATCAAATCTTAGCCAAAAGTTCAGATTCTCATGTCTGTTTTTTTTTTATTTCAGTTCCGTTTGGACCAACGTTTGTATTTCATCATTGAAAACGTGACATATTTGTTACTTTAGCTGCTTAAATTCTCACATCATGATCGTGATACTTTCACATGTACGACTTATATTAGCTTATTTACTCTAGTCACTGAAAAAAAACCAAAACAAAAACTTTAGCCTGCCAGATTGAATACGTCTAATTTTTTTAAAAAACAAAACAAAACAAAAACTTTACCCTGCCAGATTGAATACGTCTAATTTTTTACCTTTACATATTTATCTAGCTAAAATTAGTTTTTGACATTGACCAAGAATTGCAGTGTGTGTTAAAATGTCACCTCCATTAATGCTGCTAAAGAGACGGTTTACATTTCTGTAAGGAGGCACTTTGGAAACACACACCAACACACCTGGCTGAAATGTGGGAGAGACAACGACACCCATGGAAAAAGACAACTGACAGTACGTCATATTTTCCCTCGCTCTGGTGAATTATCTTCAAGTGCTCTTGACCAAACCCTTGGTTTTGTCTGGTGACTGTCAGCCAGGCGTCTGTGTGTTCTGTACCAGTCTAATTCTCTTACACAGACCGACTGTCCTTCAGTAATCAAGCATCACCACCGGTGACGAGGGTATAGCCCCCAAATTACCATTTAGATTGGACACCTCGGTGCCGAGAGAAGCCAATTATTAAATGGGGTTTTAGTGAGAGGGGGAAAGAAGAACGGCGGAGGCTCTCGGAGTGAGAAGATATCCCGGCAGATGAGCTCCGTTTGCATCATTCCTCTTGAATTCCTGTAACACACCAACGTCTCGTCTCATCTCAGCGGCAGTGGCTTAAAATTTGGCAGGCGGAGAAGAATGTATTTTTTCCCCTCCGCAGGGCTGTTGGCGGAGTGATCTGAGCCGGTGATGTTTGAAAGGAAACAGGTGCTGCTGTTAATAATTGAAAGAGGCAAATTGGCTCAGTCAGAGGTGAGACTGAGCAGCTGGGGAAATGACCCATTTTCCAGTCAAGTGGAATTATGTGCATTAAAAGATACTTAAGAGTGAGAAGCACTTGTTTACTGGCAGGATTCTTTTATGATGAATTCAATATGAGTCCGTGCTCCAGAGAAAGGTGGAAATATCCTGAAGCAAAAGCAAATAATTATTCACTTTAAATCACCTCAGTAATCTCTGCGTAAAGACTCCAGTCCGGGTCCTAACTGGGTTCAGGGGAAACCCTGTTGTACCCACAGCTGTCTAAGTATCTGCCTGCTCAGCTGTTGGGTACTGCTTGTATTTGGTTGCATGTGTGTAGTACTGCAGTTTAGGTGTACGTACATTCCAGTTCCATTTGAGGGGGAAAATAGTTATTTATTTTCTTTAATTAGTATATATTTACATTTTTAATTGAAGGTAGATCTCCACTTATTTTAGTATTAATACTAGAAAACATAATAATTAGAGCTGTTTTACAATTTAACTGGATTAAATTTCCAAATGAATCATGATTAATTAAGTAATTAAATAATAAGCATTCCTAAATATGTAATAAATAAATAAATGGCAGTAAATGGCAGTGGTGGCAGTATTCACCACTTACTGCCAGTAGGTTGTGGTCAACATGCAGTTTTGCCGTTCAAAACCAGAGTGAAGTTAGCAGGCTACAGCTAGCTTAGCCTAGGAGACTGATTACTGGAAATATTAAACATTTAAACAGACATCATTGACTTTCAGAACATCATAAAATAGTTGAAGTAAAAGTTCAATAACAGAATCCTTATCCTGAAAATGTACTTACTTAAGTTACAGGATTTGATTTACAGAGAATATTTTACTCCGATGCTGCTCGGAGCTCGAGGACTTTTCAAACTGAGCTATGTTTTTGCTGTACTTGTCCTTCAGGCAATCTCTGTGATTTCAGCAGAGGGAAAAAAATATTTTTGCACTGTGTATATTATTAAATAGTATTTTGTTCTACTCCACAGACTTTTAATTTAATTCTAAGACAGAATCTTCCGGGTCTCCCTCCATCTTTGTGACTGTATTGGATACAGATAGTGATTTGATTCTGCATTCTAAAATATAAAAATATAAAAATAGAAAGTAAAATAGAAAGAAATAAGAGAAATTAAAAAAACAATGAATAAATCTGCTTGAACCCAAGGGGTGCTATTTTATTGGCAAATATGTACAGAATATATATATATTTATTATATATGTATATATTTATTATATGTATATATTTATTATATGTATATATTTATTATATATGTATATATTTATTATATATGTATATATTTATTATATATGTATATATGCCTCATGATGCATACACAAAAACAGAATTCCTAAAGCTTCATGGCTCTCTTAAGGAATAGAGAAATAGAGAAGTGTTGTCCTGTGCCAAGGTCAGATGGTGACCTCTTGCTGACTGGAGGTCACCGTTGACGTGTTCCCGTGTCCCCGTGTCCACCATTTAGTGACTGACTGACTGGTAATATCTTGCCTTGTTTTCTCTGGGGTCAAGGTTTAGGACCACGGTCTTGGGTGATAATGACGTGTTTTGATCCCTGGTTGTAGTCTGAATCCTGTCATCGCACCAATAAATTATAAAGAGAGAGAGAGACTGGCTGTTTATGGATTTATACTGTAGTATGATGTGGTCAATCACTGGTACTGCGTCTGTGCAGCACCAGTGATTGCTAATGCACGGCCGTTATACAGTGTGTCAGATTTGTATGTCCATCAGAGGGCGACCTTGACATTTCAGTCACTCAAACATAAAAAATAAATAAATCCAATGTGTGACATTAGTGGGAAGGCAGACACACTAACGTCTGGAAACAAATTAGTTCCACGCACATATGGTGAAGGCAGGATTCAGGGTTAATGTTAACGGCCTTGAATTAAAGATGGCGCTAATCAGCTGCCGTGTGGCCGCAATATAATCTTCTCAATTGGCAGCTGAAGTGATTACAGTTTATTCCTGCAGCTCGTCGTGGCTCTGAGGTCGACTTAACCTACCTGTGAAGGCTCAGTGAGAATGAATGTTTTATTTAGGAAGGCGTATTTATCATAACTGAAGGTTAATGGATGTTGGACTTTCATCAAACAGCCAACACTTACTGCACTTGTGGCCCCCCTCAGGCTGAGGAGAGCATTACATTTTTTGTGTAGATTTATTTAATTAAATTCCATTCGAGACATTGACAGTTTTCTGGAATGAAAACAAAACTTTGTTTTTTTTTTATTATTGATTATTCTTTATACAAAATAAACCACTATAAAATACATCTGTCACTAACCCTTTAAATACACTGTCAGACAGTGAAGTATTCTGGCTGCAGTATTTTATCTGCACATATTTTTTTTCAGTTAATAATTCAAGTTTTCTTGGATCGAATCATTCTCAGGCTCCAAGTCTGTGTCCGACCACAGGGGGCGTGGCCTCCAGTGATTACAACTCCACATCAAGGTGTGCATCATTGTTTGGAAGCTGCTCTGACTCAGAGAAAATGGGCCAAATAGGAGATTTAACAGAGACAGAAAAATACTGAAAAAAATAATTGACTGGTTTTAAAAAAGAAAATAGGTGAGAAAAAGGAAGAAAATTTGCCACAGAGGAGAAGATTTAAATTTGGAGCTAGAAGGAAACTGTAATCCTCCAGTGTCGACACATTCTGGAGATAAAAGACCAAGGAAATTCAAGACTACACCACGGGTTACAGCCAAGGTGAGAAAGAACTGACTGTGATTAAGCTTGATGACCTGTTAGATCAGTGGGTTATACATATAAACATATATAAACATATATAAATATATATAAACATATATAAACCCAACACTGTTCAGTTGACTACAGTAAATGGAAGTATATCAAGCCAGTGTGTTGAGGCCTTTACTTTTTGTGATTATTTTGCCAAAACAGTTTAAAAAAAAGAAACTCAGTTTCACTGCCGGCCACTAGAACAGGCTTAAGTACCACTACTGGTACACGTGCCATTGTTTAAGAACCACTGCATTAGGTGAAATGTATAATTTTGACCATATTAAAATCCTCTGGTGGCTACTATGCCGCCTGTCCATCCTTGAAGCAGAAACGCAAGAGAAAAAGCTACGTTATCTGAATAGACTGAGTCCAGAAGAACCTTGAACCCTGAACTTCCTGCCTGACAGTACTGCAGTACACGTCGTTCACCACTGAGTCCAGGTGCAAAAGACGCTGATCACTGAGTGTCTGGGTCTGTCTGTTCAGGAACTTTCTGGAAGACACTATAGATGTGTGTTTTTCATATGGAATTGATATCATTTTGACTCCACAACATCAACACTCACAGTGATGTAAGGAGGGGAATTGAAATTGAATTACTACCATTAAAACCTCAGTAAATAGAAAGCAGTGCAGGTAGATGTCTTTTAAACTACCACTCCAAACACTTTCATGCTCCCACTCAGCCTTTTTCAGCATTTACCCCAAATGGCCCTGAGCTTTTTAATACTCGTTCTCCATGCAGGGATTTGTGGTTATGAATAGTGAAACTGCAGCCTCAAATTGTTGTACATTTCTGGAAAGGAGCGCGGGAGAAAAGTTTCAATATTTATTGCCCTGCGGGTGCTTTTACAGGGACGTTATGTGATGTTCGACTCCGAGAACATTGTGTGGCTCCGATAAGACTCCGTCGTCACCATTGAACTCAATGTTCTGTTCCCTGTAGCTGTTAGCCTAGCGAGCCTTTATGCCTGTTGCCTGACACTATCGTCATATTCTGACGGCAGAGTGAGGAGAAGAGGCAGAGTGAGTGCAGCAGACAGTGAGTGTGACAGCTTCAACATCTGGGACTCTGCTCCTCTCTAATCTCTCCGACTCCGTTGATGGAGAAACCAGTCTGGGTTTCATATGAACATGAAGATACTTGTCATTTTCCTTACTTTTCCACACAAGTATTTTAATAGAAAAAGAAGAGAAAGGTTCTCAGGAAAGAGACAGATTGTTTTTTTTTAGTTTTGCTCTGAGGGATTATAGTACTACGACACATTAGCCGTAGCAGCTGCTAACAAACACAGAATACCACCATTCGTACTACAGAGAGTATCTTTGACGTGAGTCAAGTTGCCGTCCTTATCGTGGCCGTTTGTCATTCCACAGGCAGCTGTCCACCAACACTGTTTGGCGTCACACCAAGCACACAAACAGTTTGGAGTATCCCCCACTGTCCCCCATGCCCCTCCCCCCACTCACTTACAAATCACCGTAGAGGCATTGGCTCCTCGAAGCACAGCAGCAGCTGACGAGTCATCAACACCGAGTCTGGTCCGCTGCCACGTCCGACCAGATAACGATGTCTTATCTCACGCTAGAGTCTCCGCACGATCATTGAGGCTTTTATCGATCCCTGACTATCTGTTCTGAACACTTGCCTCTTAATGTCAGTGTTCGACTCTGGTGGGATTCCTCCGCGCCCCCCCGAACCGCAACCTGACCTCCAACACACACTTGGGTCTCTTATCTAGATAGTGTTTGTAGCAGAAAAAGCCCAACGGTGTGTGGACAGACAGATCGTTGCCTCAACCGTTGTCTCCAGTGGAACCATTTCAGTTTGCTGATGTTTTCTGTTCCACTGCTGCTTTTGCCGTTCTCTCTGTGCACAGACAGAACTCCGATCACACCGTGTCTCAAAGTTAATGACTCACATTTGGGGCAGTTGATGATATTATATAAAGGGAAAAAAACCCCACTGATCATATACTGTAGCTCCTAACATCCCCGTCCCCTGTGGTGGGACGCCTACTTCCTCTTTTTAGTCACTCTAATTGCCATTGTCAATTGGGCTTAATTTGTCAGATGAAATTGCGTTATGATGATTGGCACAGGAGGGGATGAGAATTTTAGCATCACTAATTGGTTCTCTACCCGGCTCAATTTAGCGGGAGCAGACTGCTGTCACAACCCGTCCTCCTTCTAATGAGGTGCAACAAACAGCGTTTCACCCTGTGTGTTTAGTCATAGTGTTTATCTAAGGGTGTGCACACAAATACACACACACACACACACCGCTACTGAGAGGTGTTCGTTTTCAAGACATTTACGATAATCAGGAAACACTTGAAACTCAGATGAGTGTTAAAACCTGCTGCAGTAAATGTATGGCAAATATATTTTAAGCCTAAATATAAATAAGCATTTTTTCAGTCCTTTTATTGAAAGTAATGCAAACTTTTCTTTCATATTAACCATTTTAAAAATGGTCAACACCATTTATTCCTATTTAATGAAAAAAAAAAACCTGAACATAAAGTGTTTGTGCGTTTATTTATATTTTCAAAAATCAAGCGGGCCGGATTAGACACTCTAATGGACCGCTTTTGGCCTGCAGGCTGTATGTTTGACACGGACCGCTTTTGGCCTGCAGGCCGTATGTTTGACACACCTGCTTTAAAATGAATACAATTAGCCCAGGTCAGTTTTCTACAGCGGGTTCATTTTCACCACCGTCGATCTCATCAACAGCTTCCTGATTGTCAAATGCACGAATGATATAGAAATACAGACATGAAGACAATGCTCGACAATCACGAACAAGTGGGTTTGATCAGCACGAATCAGCCCAGACTGATGACCACGGCCCGTGATGGAGCTATTCACGAGGTAGAAATGAATGAATTTGAACCACTCAGACCACAACTGTTTCAAGTTTCAATAGAGAGAAATCCACAGATCGCTCTCTGGATTTCTTTGGTTCCTGAATGTATCAGTAAAAGTTGAGACGGAGAGAAAAGTGAGGCTGTCAACTCTCATCACTGCCTGCTGGAGAGTTGGGTCAGGTGTCAGGGAAGAACTGTCAGACAGACAAGGAAAAACCAAACATGCAGTTAGGAGTCGACTGTCAATGCCTGGCAGAAGATTCTGTCCACAAAGAGTTTGTCTGAAAAAAGCCTTCCAGCATTCAGCAATTGAGTGAAAAGGGTGTTTTTTTTTTATTCTGAGAATATCAGGTGTAATACCTTTCCTAGCAATCCTAGGCTAAGCTAACTGTACCCTATAGCATCGTCTCGTTTTTGTGCGGTCTCATCGGTAGCTCTGTATCCCTATTGTTGTAATACTGACATCTACTGAATCAGAAAGGAAAAGTTAGAAAATACAAGGAGAGGGAAGAATTCTTGCTAATGACAATTATTATACGTAGCATTTGATTTGCTAAAATGAAAAGGGAGATTGGTTTGTAATTTGTAAACTGTAAAAGAGAACTAAACCAGAGAAAAGACGTGATCAGTGATGCTAAGTGGAGAAGCTAGCAAAGATATTCAGTCTGTGTTAAAAACAAATATAACCAAGGACAGATATGTTGTTTTTGACAATGTCTCCGCGGGGGACGATGATGAATGTTACTGGAGCTGTGTTTCTCCATCCATCAACACAGTTTGATCCTACATTATCCCACACTCCCAGCTGGGATGATGCTGATTAGTCCTGCATGAAAAGCTAATAAGAGTTTAACAACCAAGGCCAGATGTGGTTCTTCTTCAGTGTGGAGACTTATCACCAGTCAGTGGAAGTTAACAACGGATTGTAAAAAGATTAAACATTTTTGCAATCTAAGATCAAACTTTATGGTGAGCACGGATTTGATAGTAATTTTATACTTTATTTTTTTTATTAGGGCTGTCTCATCTTGAAGATTTTTCATCTGATTAATCACAGGATAGCTGTGGATTAGTCACAATTGTGAATAATAATTATAATTATCAATTAATTATGATTAATTGAGATGATTCGACAATAAAAGGAATATTTTTCTGTACATCGCTAACATAACAAAAAGACAAATAACAGCATGTAGCTGTACTGTACTGTGTGGCTGATTGAGAAAAACATTTTACCCACAGTGTGTGCAAATAACGTGTGTATCAATAGTGTATTAAAGCAACGATAAGTTGACGGATAGTGGAGATAAATTTTACTTTAATTTTGCAACTTTTTTTTTAACCTGATAAAGTGACTAATGCATTCATTTTGGACCGTTGTTCAGCCTGATTGGTCAGTCGGAGCTTGAACTGGACGATGTTCAAAGACATCACGTAAACATCAATAAACAAAACTAGCAACGTCCTTTTTTTCCACTTCCATTTCCCTAATTCTTTTTCTCTCACTATCCTAGCTTATTTCTTATCACAACTGCACACACGCCCCCTTGAGGGCCCTTGTCCTGAAAAGTGGCCAGTAAATCCCACTCTGTATTTCTGTCTTTTATGAAAGCTCGGAGATTCTTCTGTGCACCAGGTGCACAGTTGGTAAATCATTAGGAAAGCAGTGCATCTGGGACCAAGGAAGGGGAAACAAGGCAATATATCGGAGCTGTCCGCGGTACACTGACACAAATAATGCTTTGTTGCACTTTGTGTAATTTGTTGGATGTGTGGCTAAAGGGAGGAATTAATCCAAGCCAATGTGCCAGAATCTCTGAGCTGTGCCGGTAAGGTTCCTCGAGCGTGGAAAAGCTTTGCTCTATCCTTTGCATTTTTTCGGCAGGATGAACAGGAGCAAACTCGCCATTTCTTGCCAAATTCTACAGATTTTTTTTTTTTTTTTTTACTTTTTTTGTACAGCAGCAATGCATGACATTCATGTTGATGCCTGTCATATGTTGGTTGTATCCTTCCTGAGGAGCTCAGCGATGGGAGAATGGGAGGTCAAAAGATAATTAGGTTCAGGTTCTTAATCTAAAATGATGTTCCATACCACTGATAGTGATAATTAATTAGCCTGTGCATAATTAAGAGCCCTGAATAATCCCACTTTTGTTCTGAGTGAATCGCAGCCGACCGGTGACAGGAGACGGAGGAAGAGGGTGAAACGCTTCTCTGGAGACTTTGTGTGTTGTTGGTTTAGCAGCGTCTGGTTTGTATTTGACTTCTCACCGTTACCTTAAAAAAAAAAACCAGGTCGGCTTTTCAGTTAGAATTACTTTTAATTTGATCTAAATGTGATTTAAAAAAAAACAAAAAAACAAAAATCAGACTCCATTTTGGAGACTGTGTAACAGCATTATAATGAGTCTTCACCTTGAGTCTGTCACCCACAGCATGTGGATGGTACTGGTAAACAACGTGTGTGGAATGAGTATTAGAGCAAGTATACAGTGAATGGATGTGTGGTGTGTTATTGGGGAATCAGTGCTGGAACTCTTTAGTTGACACTTTCATGTCATTGCTTGCATTTTTTTAATGTCTTTATGAACTTCTTCCAAGACATTTTTAATTTTTTTTTCCCATTACTATTTATAATCTCCTTCCACTCCGTCACCCATTTGCTGAGCAATATTTTTTTTTCCAATGCTGTGTTTAACCAACACGGACAGATTAGTTTTTGTTCATGCATTACAAATATAAATAAATACATTCCATAATGGGGTCATGTTCCTCCTTGGAGCTCTCTCTCTCTCTCTCTCCCTCTACGAGAACCATGAGCACATTTTTATAAATTATTCAGTTTATGACACAAAAGACGGCAGAGAAAACCCTGCGGTGCTTCCAGTCACTACTGCCTGTCTCTAAAGTTTGTAGTGGGGCTGATAAAGCATGACTTGCATGGTAATGGTGAATATGCTGGTGGATTCTCTGTGTAGCAGACTTCAGTCTGAAGTGCTGTCATGCCTGGATCCTGTTGACAGGCTGTATGGCGTAGAAGTTCTTCGGGGAAAAACAAAGTGACTCTGTGCGTTTGTGAATTCTGCTTGAGAATCGCCGAAGGACGGAAATGACAGTGAAGACGACACTGACGCCTGTGATCAAGGTTGTTGTTGAAGTGTCCGTGAACATTCAGAGGTCATTGCATCATGTGAGGATTTTTTTTTTCACAAACTCACAAACAATGTAGGCTATGAATAGAATAAAATCCAGTTTTGATGTTTGTAACGTAGGCTATGATTAGAATAAAATCCAGTTTTGATGTTTGTCTTGTGAGGAGGATTTTCTTTCAGATTTGAATCAGTTTACGTTAGGATGAGATCAAACTTTATAAATCCTGTAACGGGTGAGATTACACACCTCAAGACCAGTATTCAGAAAGGCACTGTCACTCAATCTACACAAGAAATCTTTTTGATCTACTTCACCCGCTGCTTCTTTTTTCAAGTCTGTCAGGGAACTCTTTTAGCCCTGTGGCAGAAAAGTACATGTGGTGGTGCATGCCATGAATGTGCTCAGTTTATATTAATAATTTGTAATAACACAATTTTTTGTGTGTTTTTGACAGTACTGTTTTCCACAGATGGCACTGATTTTTTTTTTGGTACAAATTAGGGGAAAATGCTTTTCCTCAGTTTTTCTCAAATAGGAAACACGCTTACGTCAAAGAAAGGAAGCTATTTTTATGATGACTCGAACCTCAGGGGTGTATGGGGAAGTCAGGAGTGGAAGAAAAGTACAAATGGGTGGTTAGTACACAAATTCCTGATTATTTGACAGTATATGTTTCTCACATATATAGCGGCATTTTTGAGTCAGTTTTGAGAGTCAGAAATTGGACTTAGGTGTGATGGATTTGAACCGTTCACGGGGTCGGCGTTTAACTCATATTGTGATCTAGCCTATATCCCTCGATTATGTTTTATTGAGTCTATTTAATTATTTATTCATTATTTTAACATCACATCAGTGCAACATGAATTGAATATACAGTTCCCTGTGGCTGTAGGTGAGAGAACGTTGGATTAAATGAACCAGAACTTCACAAAAATCAACAAACCAGATCCACTGTTATTTTCATCCTGCTTCTTATAAGATGCATTTTGTAATACACACACACACACACACACCCTCTCTCCGACACACACTTGAGCACTAAGAGCATCCAGATGCTCAGATTCAGTCTCCACACGAGCCACTTCTAGGAAAGTACACACGGACGCAGAGTCAGATAACCTGCCAGGCATCGGGGATAAGAACAGAAATCACTAATGAAGGAAGTCAGCACAACATTCTAGTGGGTTTCACATTTACATAGAATTATCGCCTGGCGCTCTGGGAATTGTTAATGCGGTTCCCGGGGTCTACGGTGGGTCTGAACAGGAAGCTGTGACGGAGGCTTCATTTCTCCAGTGTCTGCAGACAGACCTTCGTTACTGCCGTCACTGTTTATGTGTTTGTATAAAAACTCGCCCAATCACACACTGGCATGTGTCACAACACATTTGTGTTTGCAACCTCCGCTGTTGCCCGTCCACCCTTTTCCCACCAAATTTTGGTCACTTCCAATTATTTTATTTATGAATTTATTAACAACTATTAAATATGGGGCTCCTTTTAATTTTTCCATGTTTTTATACAAATCCAAAAAAATTAAAAATGTGGATTATTTTGAATAGAATTCGAATTCTTGCAATGATAAATACATGCAGGAACTCGTGTTTATTTCCAATTCAGGGATTGGGAAACAAGGCTGGGTCTTTGAGGCTAATAAAATCTCTCGCCAGATAAAACAGCATTAAGCTTTGATGAGGCTGCGAGGAAACAACTGGGAAAATGACTCAGCTCCTGGGTGATTAAAAAAAGGCAGTGGATATTCAGGATTTCTCTACGTCTGTCTCTCTCCCTGTATGTTCGTTCGCAGCACCGACGCTCTCTTACCTCTGAATGATTCTGGACGCCTTCGTTCGCCGGGTGTGCCACCTGCCGGTGCGTCACGACTGCTCCAGCCAATCCTGACGCAGTGACTTTCCTCGGAGATCCCACGGCTCTCCTCACGTTTAATCTGCGGGTCGGTGACTGTGGAAGGCGACCGAGCTCTCGTTAAACCGTGGACCGTTAGACAGTCACATATGACCGGATTGGACTGGCGTCGTTCCGCGGCTGTGCTGCTCCGCACGTGGATCCAGGACAAGTTTGGACAGGATTGTCCTGGTCTCATCATCTACTTCAGCTGCTCTTCTCCGAATCGGTAAATCCTATGAGGTAAGTCTGGACCAAGCAGGCAACTTTAAGTTTTTACATTTATATAATAAACTTTTTATTTTATTTGAATATAATTCCCGTTTTGTTCTAGTAGAACGATCCAAAGCTGCTGCGTTTTGGCTGCGAAACGCAGCGTTTTGAAGTTGCAGATCTTTGCTGTGTGCACTCAAAAAAAATCACATCGCATTATAATGTCACAGTTTTAGGTTCGAATACGATGTTTTAGATTTTTTTATTATTTATTTGACATGTTGGAAGTGCCGCCTCACTCAGCATCCCTGTCTGCGCAGCTGTACTTGTGCGCCCGCTCAGCTCAGCTCAGCTCAGCTCAGCTCGGCTCGGTTGACCAAGGCTCCTTCACTCAAACCTCCACTTATTACATCTTGTCTCCTCATGTCAAGAAAAGTTCCAGAACAGACGCACACTTGTTAAATGTTAAAGGAAAAACAAACGTGGTTGACCAAAAGGTCAGTTCGGCACAAAATGTTTTGGGTTTTTTTTTTTTTGGCACAAAATGTTTTGGGGTTTTTTTTCTGCGTGGTGCGTAAAAATATGTATTTGTTGCTGCATCACTGTAGTATTCACTGTGGCTGGAATTTTTATTTTTATTTTTTCTAATTATTTTTTTTTAATTTTTTTAATTTTTTGTGAATGGTACAATAACAGTCCTGTCCTGTACAGTCCAAAGATGGCACTGTGATGGAATGTTCCCTCTCCCTGACCTGGGGGTACTTTGACATTGGGCTGGATAATGAGAAAGAGCAGAGGGAATGGCATCTGTACCCTGGTGCAAATATTTTCCATTTACTCCCCCAGCTGCAGTCTTTCATTCGCAGGAGCCGCGGTGGTAGTTTGACAACAGGGCACTCGTATATGAATCACAACCTGCCTCCAATGCTTAATAGTTGAAGATTTTATTGCGTTGCATATATCAACAGGACCGGCATGTTTTCATATCAATATATCAACAGCAGCCACTGTTGGGGAACGGCGCCGTTCAGGTTCGTGCCACGCTCCGTTACTAGTCTGTCAAAGGTGGGATGGGAATGTGTTTAGATGATTGTGACTTTCCATTGTCTGCCTGGAGGGGGAGGAGGAGGAGGAGGAG